TCATTTTCAAGCAATGGGAAAGATTTTAAAGGAAGGAAAATTCCCTGCTCTGTGTGTGACAGGGGGCGGTGCCCCAACTCCCCTATTGGCCCTAGTCTGTGAGTGACAGGGGGGAGCTCCTCAACCCCCTGATGGGCCCTGCTCTGTGCGTGACAGGGGGGAGCTCCCCAACCCCCTGATCGACCCTGCTCTGTGTGTGACAGGGTACGGAGCCCCAACCCCCTGATCGGCCCTGCTCTGTGAGTGACAGGGGGCAGCACCCCAACCCCCTGATCGGCCCTGCTCTGTGCATGACAGGGGGTGGCGCCGCAACCTCCCCATCGACCCTGCCTTGAGTGTGACAGGGGGCGGTGCCCCAACCCCCCAGTCGGCCCTACCCTGAGCGTGACTGAGGGTGGCATCGCAACCTCCCAATCCGCCCTGCTCTGTGCATGACGGGGCGGCGCCCCAACTTCCCAATTGGCCCTGCTCTGAGCCTGACCAGGGGCTGCACTTAGGTATTGGGCCTGCCCTCTGCCACCTGGGAGCAGGCCTAAGCCAGCAGGTCGTTATCTCCTGAGGGGTCCCAGACTGCGAGAGGGCACAGGCCGGGCTGGGGGACTCCCCTCCCCCCACCCCCCCGAGTGCACAAATTTTTGTGCACCGGGCCTCTAGTTATTACATAAAAGGGTACGGTCTTTTTTTTTTTTTTTTAGTTTTATTCATTTCAAACGGGCCCGATCTGGCCCGCGGGCCGTAGTTTGCCCACGGCTGGTGTAGACTCTAATATATAAATAAGTAAATAAACAGACAAAAGTCCCTGTTCTAGGAGCTTTCCTCCCATGGGAGTGGGGATGGACAGTGCTCTAAATGAGTATATCGATCACGTGGTATGTTAGAAGGTGCTATGGAGAATAAGTGAAACCTGGGAGCATAAAGGGTGAGCAGGAGGTGATCTCAGCTTTCAGTGGGGTGTTCAGGGAAGGTGTCCCCAAGACAGTGGCATCTGAGCAAAGAAGCCATCAAGGACATGTGGGTCTCTGGGACAGAGCACAGGATGCACAAAAGCCCTGAGGTGGGAGTGGGCCTGGCATGTTGCAGGAACAGCGAGGAGACCCGATGGTGGGTGGCATGAGATCAGAGAGGGGCTGAGCTGGGGACCAGGTGGACACATCGTGTGGGGGCTTCCAGGACATTGTAGGGGCTTAAACACTTTTAATCTGTGGGACATGGTAAGCCATTGGAGGGTGTTTGAGCCTCAGGATCCCTGGCCACTGTGTTGAGAATAGACTGGGATCAGGGCATTCAGGTAGAAGGCTTTCATCACAGTCCATGCCAGAAAGTGGGCAGGAGGGCGGGAGTGGGGGGTCCTGGACCATGCAGGGTGAGGTATGAGGAGCGGCTGGATTCTAGATACAGTTATCTTCAGGTAGAGCCTTCCTGATTCGCGAGTGGACTCATCTCTTCATCCATTTGACAAATACATGCCAGGTATTGGAGACCTGAATGGAGATGTGGCTCCTTCCTTGGAGGTGTTGGGAATTTAACAGGAAAAGATAGAGAATTGATAAGCTGCTCCCTGTGTACAAGGTGTGGGCTAGAGAAGCAGCACTAGAACTATACCCCAGATGGTCTCCAAGCTAGTGTCCCCTGCCTTCCCCATCCCTCCAGCTTCCCACCAACCCCAAGACTCCAGCTTGTTCTTCTCAACACCACATCCCTTCAGAAGGCAACTAACCTCCCAACTCTCAGGAACCTTCTCTTTGCCCCACTCTTTTCCTTACCCCTGGACTGGTCTCTGAATTAGACTGCTTACAGGGGCCTGAAGCATTTTACATTCATTTTACAGAAAAGGGAACTGAGCTATAGAGAGCTCAGTTTAACGTTAAGCCAACGTTAACGTCAGTTTCCTAAGTCTGTAAAAATTTGGTTGGAAAGTCTGGTGGGAAATCCTTTAAAGGGCCTAGATTTAAAGAGAGAAGGCAGTTGAAGGTCCATAGAGGAAACCGACGTACGGAGGTCCCATAGCTCATGTGTGGGGCTGCTGGGCTGGAGCCTGGCTCCCGACTCCCAGTTCTGTGACCCGTTTTCAGTCCCCAGTGGGATGACTTAGCTCTCTTGCCAGTGAAGAAAAGTATTTCTTAACTGCAGCGTGAGTGCTCTAGTGAGACATAGGTGGGACATTCACTGGACTGCCCAAGGAGGCTGTGGAATTCCTGTCCCTTGAAAGCTTTGAGAAGAGACATCTTGCTGGATCTCGGTTTTAGGTACAGACCAGCCAGCCCACAGGGTGGTGTCCCCAGGGCCTGGTCCTTCCCTCCCCTCTCCCCCTGACACAGACAGACCGGTGCTTCCAGGCCAGCCAGTTCTTCTGGCAGACGAGACCTCCTGAGGGTGGCCTCTTAATTCAGCCTTGGCAGTGGGGAAAGGTCAGCTGGGGGGCCAGCGTGGCCTTGGCTGTGCTCTCTTCTTACAACCCAGGTGGCAGATAGCCCACTCGTCCTGCCTCCCCCCCTGCATCAGCAGCTTCCTTACTCATAGCCACAGCCCTCCAGGCTCAGCGAGCCCAGCAGGGCAGAGCAGGCTGGTGGCTGGGCCTTCTGGCCCCAGAGTTGAAGCAAGGAAGTGATAGCTGCCGCTCAAACCCTCTCTCCCTCCCTGTCCCCAACCTAATGCCCTTCTTTATGGTCTAATCCTCCCAGTGGTCAAGGTCCAGCTGAACGCTCACCTGACCACCCAGCCTGCACTGACCACTCATTCTCAGAGCACACTGCATGTTGACTGTCCGTAGCATGAGCTGGAGCTACTGTGTGGACACATGTCTCTCCCCAACTAGGTGGTGAGCTCTTTGACCCAGGGAACCCCTTTTCATGATCCCATTTATGATAACAGGGCACTTTTCCTGGGTCTCTCAGATACAGCATCAGCCTCTAGGATGTAGACCTGTTTTGACTGGTCGTCTCAGAACCATGGAGTGGAAGTGTGGTTGGCCTGGGTTTGTTTATCTGAGTTAAGGGCCTCAGACCTCCTCTGGGGATAGTCAGTGTGTCAGCACTTATTTCCCTGAGGCTCCCTGCTTCACACAGACAGGATATCGTGTAAGGGCCTGTGCATTTGTGGAGCTGGTAGGAACTGTGGGAGTTGCACAGGGAAAGGGCCAGGCACTTCCTTGCAGCCTCTCAAATGTGCAGAAGGCCCAGGAGAAGTGGAAGCAGAGAGGCAGCTGTCAGGCTGCCATGGGCAGAGGTGAGGTGGCCACGTGATAAGGAGGCTCTGAGAGGGCGCCTCAAGCTGTGCATCCAGCAGGAGGCCATGGCCCTGGCACCTCCTTGTTCTTAGGTGACCAGCTCACCAGCAAGGCCTCAGCTTCCTCTTGCTGCTGGGAGATCCCTGGGATCCAAGGATGGCAAGAGGGAATTTTCATAGTCCTCACCCCAGGTACCCACTCAAGGTGGGCAGAGGGTGCCAGAAGGGACCTCTCAGACACCTCATTTGCCTGCCTTTTGTCCTTCTCCTCCCACTGATGGCTCTTTGTTTCTCCACAGGTCGGAATGAGCTGATTGCTCGTTACATCAAGCTCCGGACAGGGAAGACCCGCACCAGGAAGCAGGTGGGCCCTGGGAGATGGGTATGGGTCCCCGGGCAGGCACCCCAGCACCAGCCTGCTCCCAAGGTGGGCCAGGTCCTCCTCAGGACTAAGTGTGGACTCTCAGTGGGACCAGCTCGGATAGGTTGTCTCTTTTTGGTGTCCCACGGACAGTTCATTTTCCCTGCCGTCCCTGCTGCCATCCCTCGTGTTCTGGGGAGTCAGCAGCCCCCTCCCCATCCTTCTCCAAGACACCAGAGAATAGAAAGCAAAGCACTGGAACTGCAGTTCTATTTATTTCCCAACTGTGGACAGAGGACTGAGGGCCCCTCATTGACTGACCCTTTCTTTCATTCATTCATGCATCCATTTACTCCTTTAGTCCACAGAAGTGGATTGAGGTCCATGAAGGGTTGAGGGTCAGGGATCCAGGATGGGGAGCTAGGCTGTCTGGGAAGTAGGGTCAGGAGCCTTCTCTTCTTGCCATAGGTCTCCAGCCACATCCAGGTGCTGGCTCGTCGCAAAGCCCGTGAGATCCAGGCCAAGCTAAAGGTAAGGCCCATGGCAGTTGTGGGAGGAAGGACCTAGGGCACAGATGGAGCCGTGTCGGGAAGTTGAGGCTCTTTTTTCAGCGGCAAAAGGCTTCGCTTTGTGTTTAGGGGCTGGCTGCTTGTGTGTGGAGCCAGCATGCTTCTTGGTATTGGTGAGAGTGGGATTCAGCCTATAACCTCTCCTATCCACACAAGGAGGGACACTTGACCTTAGAGCCTTGTGTGCGACTGCCAGGCTCTACAGCATCCGGGGGCCACAGGTCAGTCTCCTGCTGTGCCCCCTCCCCCCAGGGGCAGCGCCCTCACCAGATCACAGCAGAACGCCCTCCAGACCCCACTCCTTGAAGCCTCCTAGAGCCCCCTGGCTAGTGCCATCAGCTGGCGCCTGCAGGGTGGTCAGGTATGAGAGGCGCTGCTGTGGGAGCAGGTGGAATTCCTTCCCACGCTCTGCTCTCTGGGACTGGCAGTTCCTTCCCCTCCCTGGACCAGCCCCTCCTTGAGTGACAGGTGACTGTTCTGTGGAGGGCCAGCTGCTGGCAGCATTCCCCTCGGGGCGGCCCTGCTCCCCACAGGACTCAGGCCTCTCGGACCCTGGCCAGGGGGATCTTTTGGTGAATACTAGGAGGAAGCATTGCATGGAGGTGTTAAGCCTCTCCAGCCACTTGGTAAGAAGAGCTAATAACATTTGGGGGCATTAGACTAAGACCAGCAGTTTACAAACAATTTTTGTAAAGCAGTGTAAGTCCCTTTGGTTTTGTTTCCCCCAAATATCACCCCAATTTGTTATTAAAGGAGCTACTCAGGTCAACGCGAGGTTGGTGAGGAACAGACCAGAGGCCAGAGACTCCCTTCTTCTATTCACCTCTCATGCCCATGGCTCTTGAACCCCAAAGTACCTCAGAACCCAGTTTAAAAGCCCTGGACTACATGACCTTGAAGGTCCTGTGTGGCCCAGTAGTTCATGATCCCGGCTCTGGAGGTTCTGAATGAGAGGGTGGGGATGCCTAGGAAGCCACACCCTACTGCCTCTCAGCTTTTTCCTCCTGCCATCAGCCCAGCTGTCCCCCACCCCCTCTGTCCCTGGACAGCTGGCTGGGCCTCAGCTGTTCATGCCTCCCTCTCAGGCTGGCACGTGCCCCTCCAGGCCACCCTGAGGGTCCTGGAGCCCAGCTTGCCCCTTGTTTCCCCCTCTGGTCTGCCTCTGACTCACTGGGACCCTGGGCGGGGACCAGAGTTGGGAACAGACTTTCCAGTGTTCTGTTTAGAGTCATTGAGGGGAACTTTTAGTTCCATTGGGGCCTGGCTGTGCGGCTCACATTTGCTTATAGGAATTGCACCTCTCCTTGTCCACAAGCCTAGGGACAACCACTGGGCAGACATCAGGGAGCCACGAGCCCCTTAAATAATATGCAGATTTTCACACTTACGTGGAGATTGGTCTGAGGATTTCATCATATTCTCAAAGGGGTTTCAGAGCAAGGTCAGGTAGAAACCCTCTGGGTTTCAGGCTTGGTCTGACCTGACTCTGCCTTGTGCTGCATGAGCTGAGGGGAATCACTGCCCTTCCTGAGCCCCATCCCGTCTCCCCATCTGTAAATGACAGGGTTAGGCAGGGTAGTACCCGATAAGCATACCCTCAGGTGAGGGTAAAAAGCATTATTAGTACTGTTAGTATTATTAACAGAGTCATAAGTGCTTATCTGTTCAGAGCCTGTGCAGGTGAGTCCATTCTTCAGGTTGGGCCCACGGAAGGCAGATAGCCAGTGTTTACATCCTGACCTTTAAAGGGCAGGGCGTGCTGGGGGGCCCCACAGGGCAGGATTGAGACAGGTGGGGTCACAGGAGACTGTCCGTGCCTTCAAACAGCCCACGTGACCAAGGACGACCCCCTGCTCATTCAAGGGGGATCCGACAGAATTATGTATCATCTGCTGTAAGCCAGGTGCCGCCCCAGCCACCGGTGGTGTGGGGATGAGCAAGAACTGAAAGGTTCCTATCCTCAACTTGTAGTCGCCAGAGGGGAGGAGGGAGGATGGAAAAGGTGAAGGGGAATAAGTAGCACAAACTTCCAGTTATAAAATAGATAAACCACAGGGATGTAATGTACAGCACAGGAATATAGTCAGTAATACTATAACTTTGCATCATGGCGGATGGTTACTAGACTTAGTGTGGAGATCATATTGTAAGGTATGTAAGTGTCAAGTCACTATTTTGTACACCTGAAATTAATATACTATTGTATGCCACCTATACTTTAATAAAAAATTGTTTTTTAGTCTGAAAAATAAGTAAATAAATAAATAAAGGTCCCTGTTCTCAGGTCCGTGGTTTGTAAACGGAATGGTCTTCAAAGTCTCTTTAAGTGCTAGTCAAATAGGCAGGGCAAGTATTGTGCCTCTTTGACAGATGAAGAAACTGATCCAAGAAACCACGTGACTTGCTCAGAGTCACAAAGCAAAGTAATAGCTTTGCAAGGACATAAGCCTGTTCCCTGGGGCCTGCCTAGTCCAGGGCTCTGGCCACGGAGAGTGGGACAGCTTCCCTGACCACAAGCCCTCCCTGCCTCGCCTCGCCGCTGCTGAGGCCCTCCCCTCCACTGTCTTCCCCCAGGATCAGGCAGCTAAGGACAAGGCCCTGCAGAGCATGGCTGCTATGTCGTCCGCCCAGATCATCTCCGCCACAGCCTTCCACAGTAAAATGGCCCTCGCCCGGGGCCCTGGCTGCCCAGCAGTCTCAGGGGTAAGTGGGGCTGCCTGGAGCCAGAGGCCAAACCAGCCTCTCCTTCTCGCTCCTCCCCCTTCTGCAGAGCCAGAGCACTGGCCAGACCAAATTTCTCCTGCTTGAGTCCTCTCAGGCCTGGCGAGCCAGGGGGAAGGAGGGACCAAGGATCGACGGGCCATGCTGGGTGGCAGCTCAGCTGGTATTGGAACTACCTTCCTGGGGGTATCGGCAGGAACACAGCAGACCTTTCACAAGGGACAGAGTCGCCCCCATTAGCTGACCACCCAAGAAGCTCTATAGAGTTGGCCTAATGGACAAAAGGGGAAGCTGAAGTCCTGGGGACGGGGGCTGAAGCTGGGGCTCTGGTGCAGCACCAGCGTGACCCTGAGTGGTCCTGCCACTTGGCCTGGTGTCCACTCCGCCCTCGGGTCCCCACTCCTTCCAGCTGTAGGGCTGATGTCCATCAACAAACTCTTGTTCAAATTTTAAATGTTTCGGCCTAAGAACTGGCCTCTCAGCCATGACCAGGTGGCTCACACTTTTGGAATGGTCCTGAAAGGCTCCTCCTTTCCAGGTGCTGTGTCCTCACAGGGTTTTCTTTTTTTTTTTTTTTTTTTTTTTTTTTTTTTTTTTTTTTCAAATATATTTTATTGATTTTTTACAGAGAGGAAGGGAGAGAGATAGAGAGTTAGAAACATCAATGAGAGAGAAACATCGATCAGCTGCCTCCTGCACATCTCCCACTGGGGATGTGCCCGCAACCCAGGTACATGCCCTTGACCGGAATCGAACCTGGGACCTTTCAGTCCGCAGGCCGACGCTCTATCCACTGAGCCAAACCGGTTCTGGCATCACAGGGTTTTCTTGGCTGTAGGGACTAAATGGGTCTTCAAGAGCCGCCGTAGAGGCAGTGACAGCCCTGTCCTGGGCTCGGTGCAGCTCATGTTTATCATTTTTCAGAGGGTGTTCCAGAGAGCATTAGTCCACAGAATGTTTAAATAGACATGACACAAAGTGATTCTATGCATAAGTAAGTTTGGGGCACTTAGAACTGCCTTGGTTTCCTGACTGTAGGACTGTTCACAGCCTTACGTGCTGCCTTGCACTGTGGATCTCTCTCTCATGGAGGAATACGAGATGCTGTTTACCAAGCTGGGTGCTTCTCCCAGGGAGCACCGTGTCAGCAGAGCGTGTCCAGAGACTAGAGTGCGTTGAGACACACTGGGATGCTGCTATAGCCAAGCTCTAGACAGTAGCAGTAACTCTCTCCCTGCACCCACTGGTCCAGGCTCCAGCTCACCTTCCAGCTGAGGCCACAGCACCGTCTCCCTACAGCAGGGCCCTTGTGCACATGGGCTATGCTGACTCTATGCTTTTTGCCTCCTCAGTTTTGGCAAGGAGCTTTGCCGGGCCAAGCCGGAACATCCCACGAGTGAGTATGGCCTGCTACCAGCTGCTCCCTGAACTGAACCGGAGCGCATAAACTCAAGAGGTTGAGCCTGGGCCGCAGGGTGGGACAGGGCTGCAGTTTGGGGTCAACCTTTTATTACGGCCTTGAGCTTGGGGATCCAGCTCTCCTGCTCTCAGACAGCAGCTCAGTCTACACTGTGGACACCCTGTGGTGGCTTTTGCCAAAGCACCAGTCTTTCCATGGGGTAGAGGGCCAGGGGTTGGGACCCCAGGGGAAGTAGGCTAGGAACCAGGGCTCTGGCTGGCCTGGGAGGGAGGAATAAGAGAGGGATGGGTTTTTCAGTAGACATGCTGCTTCTGTGGATCAACCCTGAAACATGAGGGAGTTGGCAGGAGAGGAAGTGGGAGGCCAAAG